TTAATTGTTAACATAAGTTTATACAGGGAATAAACATCTCAATATTCACATATTGATGAAAAAAATGAAAGTTAATAATGTAGTACCCTCATTTTTTTTTGGATTCCTAAAAAACAACATTTATAATGAATTTCAATAATTTGTTTGGATTTTTTTTAAGGTTTAATCCAACCGATTCGGCTGATTTTCGATCCGGATCGCCGATTCACCAATCAGGATGAGTTTTTGGGGTGCCTGATCCGCGACACCGGTGCGGCTTTTAAACCACTGGCCTAAACTTTTCCAAGCTCTTTAAGTACAAAAGCAACCATGTCAATGTACAAAAAGTTTCTTTACAACCAGTCTATGTTAGTGATCAAAATGGTTCTTGCCACTCCTTTGGCCAGCGCATGTGTTGTGCTCTTTAAATGTAAGTTGGTTAATGTTAGTTATCAAAATGGTTGCCACTCCTTTGGCCAGCGCATGTGTTGTGCTCTTTAAATGTAAGTTGGTTAATACGTCTCTTGCATTTAGACTGGTCCTTATCTCGCGGAAACTTTGATTAAGAAGCTAAGGCGCTCTAGATATTCCCCTAAACGTTGATATTTAGTGAACCCACCTCCACAATAATTTCAGTTTAGGGATTGTACACTATAAGACTATTTATTGTTGTTATAAGGAGGTCATTAGATGTCAAACTGGATGGCTTGAGGTATGCCAAAAAGTTCGATAAAAAAAAAAATTGACTCTAGTCAATAACACTCATAACCACTCAATTTGAAATTTGATGTAAGAGAGTGATTGTGGTCTCTTTGTATTAATAAATGATCTTTTTAACATGGAATTTAGCTAGGACCCATACTATCCCAAAAATGGTTCGGTCTCAACAAATTCTCATCCAGATCGATGATTGGTTGGGGCATTACGTAGTTTTCCCAATGCCCTAGTTGGTAAGTGAGAAAACACGAGAAAATGACATGTTTTCTCAATTCCACATTTTCTCAGGCTTAACAATAGGAAAAGCATGGAAATTCAGAGCCCTCATTTCTTCATGTTTCTACGTTTTCCCTTATGTTTGGAGAAAATTGCAGCGCATCCTTTGAGGTCTGCTGCAGATTTCTCAAAAATATGCGTAAACACAAGATTCCCTTGTCCTTCTTCTATTTCTACAACCTCGGGATTTCTTTTACATTTCAATCTCTCTTTTCCCAAGCTTTAGTCCGAGCTTTATCCAGTTTTCATAGACAGGTTACCAAGTAAGGGTTCACAACTTCCCGTTTCAACTTTACCTTTTTATCAAGCTTCTAATTTCTTCAAATTTCTCAGGAATTCTTTAAGAAAACAACTTTTTCAGTTACGAAACACACCCTTAGAAAAGTAGGAATTGCTCTCAGAAGTAGCTCACATGAAAACTGAGTCGGACTGGTGATCAAGATGCAAATCTCCCAACTAATTTTGATCCTATAGAAAAGATAAAAAGATAACGAAAAAAATTTGTCAAACTACAATCTTTTTGACGATCTTTAATTAAACGACTTTTGGATGAGCGTACCAAGAATCAGATTTTTTTTATTGTTTATGTTTAGATGATTAAGAAATACTTTTTTTATGAACTTTTATAAGCAACTTTTAAATTGTTTGAAAATATCGTTTTTCTTACACAGGGTGCAGTTTGTATAGAGCCGAGGCTCTAAATAATCAAATTAGTGCTTACCTTCAAATAGTGTCAAGAAATGTAGTTTTAATATTGAAAATCTTTGTGATAGCCTTAAAATATATTTCCATTTTTATTTATAAAGTTTAAAGTTTCAAAAATAATGTAAACCAAGAGATCTATGAAAAGTTGAAAATCTTGAAAATTGACGGTCCAAAAATGCGTTATAAAATACACTATTTCCAAAACTTGAAATCTATTTTTTTTCTCATGTCCATGCATCTTGATGCCGTGATGATCCATTTGAAGATATTTGGGTATCAAAAGAACCTCTTCTAGTGAAATTTTTGAGGTAGGCTCTAATTTGATTGTTTAGAACCTCAGATATAAATAAACTTTTCCAATGGTTTAAATCAATGCATTACAATGGGATCTTTTGACGATGATAAAAAAATTTAAACAATTTTTTAATCGATTTTAACTCGTTTGAGAAAATCATATATTTTGAAATTACTATCAAGATATTTTTAAAAAATGTTAAAATATTAGTTTAAATCAATGAAACATGGCAATGTTTTAAGACATGGAAGCCCATGGCTGAGGCGAGTTTCCGTAATTGTGATGTGCAACTCCTATGGAAATGAGAATGGGATTGGAGTCGTAGTGATAGCACTACTTGTGCCCCAGCTAAGGTCAAGGTTTTCATTCTCACCTAACGCATTCAAAAACCACTAACAATTTAAAAAACAAGTAAGGGCTCGTCATCGCACTGAATTACCCAAAAAAAAAAAAAATTCCAAAGATTGGGAGATGTAAACTAATCGAACTCTCACACTTTTTTTCTCACTCTAAAATGGAAGGCAATGTTCTATCCTATAAGAGAGAGAGCATGTGGGAGAGAGATGCTCTCACCCTTCGGTGGCACTTCTCCTCGAGCTGAGAGAGAGAGAGAGAGAGAGAGAGAGAGAAAGAGAGGTGTGTGTAAGGGAAGTTGCCTATGGAGAGAGAGAGATGCTCATGGATGGTAGGGAGAGAAAAGATGAGAGAGAAAGCGAGAGACATTTGGGTTTGAGAGAGATAAAGACATAGCTAGAGATCTCTGCCCCTATGTCTGTGCCAAAAACTCCCTCTCTTGGGCACCTTGTGCACGTGGCCAAAGCTTTTTATTCTTCTTATTCTACTGTTTACCATTTTAATGGCATACTACTCGAGGGGTCCATTAGGACTTGCCCCCAATAACTCACCTCAAGCAAAGGCCAAGTCTTAATACATTGAAACATGAATTTAATCTTAATACACTGAAACATGAATTTAATCTTTGATTTAAGTCGCATTTTAAACTTAGAACACTTATTAAAACAAGTGGATATACAAATCCTGGGAAAAAACAAATTTTTGAATAAGAACCCCCTTTTTATCTATTGATTTCATCATAAAGGGGCTTAGATATAGATCTTGTAGATCAATAAAAAACGATCAAGATAAGATTTATTTTGAGAAGAAAATGTTCAAAATCGATGAAGTAAAATGGCTGGTCAGGGTTAAAAATGGGAAAAATTCCAGATTCCAATCTTTTGATCCTCATTAATTAGGGTTTCAATTGAAACAATTATGATACGGATCACGTAGAGCACTAAATAACGATCAAAACAGTCCGAATTCAAGAGGAATTAGTCCCAAATGAGTGAGAAACGGTGAAAATTGCTTATCAGAATTCAAAAAACACTATCTCACTAAGGCCATTCATATAGGATTCGAGCCCAGAACCTCCAGGACCAAACCAAGAGCTCTGAACCACGTGATTGCAAGGTCGAATCCTCAAAGTGCTCAATCTTAATTCTTGTGACTTGCCTGATTTCTCGGCGAATCAATTGATTCTTTACCGTTTAACTTAAATCCACCCGTTCTCTCCAGTGAAGAGGGCAATTTCTATGCGTCAGAGTAGAAGTCAAGGAAAAGGTATTGGGAGCTAGATGCCAAGGAAAAGGTATTGGGAGCCTGACAATTTTTCACTTGGTCAATTCCATCAATTCCAAACCGGATCAGTGATTTTTCTTATTATATTGCAAATATTGAAAAATGTTGTGAAAATGTATCGAACAGTTTCAAACAAAATGAGCCATACTAATGCCTCCCCAAACAAATATGATTGAAATAACTTTGTGAAGATGTATCGAGCAGTTTGAAACAAAATGAGACATACTAATGTCTCCCCAAACAAATATGATCGAAATAGATATCTTCCTGAACAGGGTACAAACTGTTTCCACCACAATAGTTCCTATATGCAAACCAATAACCTTTCAGAGACGTACTAAACCTCCCCAAACAAATATAATCGAAATAGATATCTTCCTGAACAGGGTACAAACTCTTTCCACCACAATGGTTCCTATATGCAAAACCAATAACCTTTCAGAGACGTACTAATACCTCCCCAAACAAATATAATCGAAATAGATATCTTCCTGAACAGGGTACAAACTCTTTCCACCACAATGGTTCCTATATGCAAAACCAATAACCTTTCAGACTTCATGACTGACACTACAAAATTACAAAAAATTCCACGGGATATGTCATGTGAGGAAAATTAGAACAAATTATATTGCAAACATAGCAACATGTATCCAAATTCTCCGAAGATCGCTCAAAATAGTAATGAGATAATTTCTGTACTCTCAACCTGTTTTTGGTACATTTCTCATCTTGGGTTGGCTGAGAGAGGAAAAAGCTCCCACAAACCTTGTATCTCTCAGTGTTATGGTGTGTGTGCACTAGGATGCATGCACATGCACATGCACATGCACAGAGAGAGAGAGAGAGAGAGAGAGAGAGAGAGAGAGAGAGAGAGAGAGAG